TGTTCTTCCAGAGGTCCTGAGTTCAAACCCAGCAACCACATGGTGGCTCACAACCATCTGTAATGAGATCTGGTGCCCTCTTCTGGCCTGCAAGCATACATGCAGACGACACTGTATACATAATAAATAAATAAATCTTAAAAAAAAAAAAAAAGAGAGAGACTTAATAAATTTTTATCTGATAACATACCCACTTCTTTATCTCTTGGTGTTTCCACATAGTTGCTGTTGGAAGGAGAATCAGACAGACACAGGAGGAGTGAGAGTATGGAGTAATGTGCATCTGTCTTTAAAACAAAAAGTGAAGACTGGTTGGTGGGTACTTCTGAAATAGACCAAGTAAAGAAAGACTTACACGAGTTCTCATAACATCAATTCTTAACTTTAAACGTTCTTCATGGTTCAAATGTTTACATATAAGAAATCTAAGTCATATGAAGTCTGGTTCTGTATTTCATTTCAGTTTTCCACAACAGGGTTTCTCTGTGTAACAGCTCTGGCTGTCCTGGAATGAGCTTTGCAGACAAGGCTGGCCTCGAACTCACAGAGATCTGCCTGCCTCTGCCTTGTGTGATTAAAGGTGAGTCAGGGTGGTGCATGTTAGCCTCTCTATGACCCAAATTTCTGCGTCTTTCCTTGTTCACAGCATGGATGACAAAACTGCAATGTTAGCCATGCAGGAAACAGTTAGCTAAGGAGACTCAAGCAGCTAAAGCTCTGAACATCCCCCCAAAGGGTTTGTCTGCACGGACAGCTTGCAGCCAACTTCTAGTTGACAGTTCCTAGAATGTTTTGTCTGGTCAATAATAGGCGAGTTCATGTTTAGAATCATGTCCTATTTTTCTATATGGTTTCTGTGAACAATTAAGGGCTTTCCTTTAGGAATCTGGGGAGTTCAGTAAATGCAGTCAGTCTCACAGGCACTAGGGACCCGATGACCAGTGCCCTGCCAACGAGTCTGGAGTCCTAAGCTCAGGTCCACAGGTACGAAGTACTGGGTCCCAGATGCAGCATGTGGAAAAGACAGAGAGAGCAGGATGGCCCATCAGGGAATGGTGCTGAACAGAGAAGGAAGTCATGCAGGCCAGGGGCTTGAACTTGCATAGGACACAGAACACCAGACAGGGAAAGTAAAGGCAACAGACATTCTGCTATTTCCCAAAGTCACTGCTGATCCAGTCATAAGCCTGTCTTCAAAACTGTAACAGCAGCAGTATGTTCAGTGACAAGAATGACAGGGATGCACTGAGGATGCATGAAGACTGGGAATCGTGTTCTGAAGCACGCAGACTACCCATGAAAGTGACAGTCACTTGGAAGTAGACACAAACTAGACATAATTATCGCTAAGACAGGGAAACAGTTCTACAATATTTGGAAATGGAGCAATGTAATTTTAAAAAACAGATGGGTAAAATTTGAAATTTAAACCAATAAAATGAGATGAACTATAACTCAAGAAATTTGTGTGTTGTAACAAAATCAAGTGCTTAGATGGAAATTATACTACTAAATACTAACTTAAATTAGAAAAATAAGTCGGGCAGTGGTGGGGCATGCCTTTAATCCTAGCACTCTGCAGTCTGAGGCAGGCGGATCTCTGTGAGTTTGAGGCCAGCCTGGTCTACAGTTCGAGTTCCAGGACAGCCAGAGCTACACAGTGAAACCCTGTCTTGAAAAACCAAAAAAAAAAAAAAAAAGAAGAAGAAGAAGAAGGCCTCAAAATCATTAACTTTCACAAAGAAAACTAATAAGAAAGGAAATTAAATCCAAAGTAAGAAACAGAACAGACAGAAATCAATAAAGAAAATTGCTCTTTGAAAAGATTAGCAATAAAGATAAATGTCTAATCATACTAATTACAAGAAAAAAAGATACAAAAGTTAGAAATGAAAGAAGAGTCCTGAGTACCGATCTCATAGATACTCCAAATAAAGGAGTACTATGTTCATAATTCAAAACATTATGTCCAAAAAATTACTTACCACGATCAATTTCTTTAAAGACACAATATACCAAAATCAAACATGGAGTAATCGATCTGGGTGGTTTTGTTCTGTTTTAGGCAGGGTCTTGGTGTGTAGATGGCCTTGAACCTGCAACCCCCTGTGCTCTCCTCCCGTGCACTAGCATACCAGGTGAAGAGCTAAAGCTAACGCCCACAAATGAGAGGAAGCAGGTCATCTTCCCCGTGCTGGGTCTTGGTGAACTCCCCGAGAATGACTGTTCCCAGTCCTAATTCCACTTTTCTTAAGAGCTGAATAATATTCCATGGTACACATGCACTACATGTGCCTCAGCCACTTGTCAGCTGACCAACTCCTAGGCTGTTTTCATCTCCTGGCTATTGTGAGAGCAACAGTGAACATGGCTGAACAAGAACCTCCATAGTAGGATATAAATCCTTTGGGCATAGGACTAAGAATGGTATACTAGATCATGTGGTTTTTGAGGCAGAAAATGTTCTCTGGCCACAACAGGGCAGCAGCAGCACATATGAACTCATGGTGGATTTTACAGTATCCACCACCCCTGTATAAGTGCCAATCAGACCAAATCTCAGCAAGGAGAGGGGACCCCTCGCCAAAGAGCGACTGGCAGCTGACAGCTCTGGGAGGGTGAGCTGTTTTCTCTAAGGGTGCAGCCACTAGTGGGTGGACCACGTTCCAGTGGAAGGCCACACATCCACGACTACACAGGCAGCACAAATCAGACTTGATGGGTTAAAAGAAACAAGGATACAAAATTGGGTGGGTAGGGAAGGAGGGATAAAACTGGGAGGGTTTGGGGTGGGGGTGAACATGGTCAAAACTCACCAAATGAAATTCTCAAAAGACCTAATAAACACTGCCACCACCAAAAACAGAGAGCACAAATGTGCGCACACACAATCTTCATTCTAGCAAAGAAATGACGTAATCTCCATTTCACCGCCCAAGAGTCACTTAACATTGTGGGAAGTACATCATTAGTTCTGTCCCTGTGTGAACCTTACAGAGCACACTTACACACAAATTTAAGGGTACAGCCGATCCCACACGCGCCTAGTTTCTGCTCTATTCCCCTCCACCCTCTTTCCTGACTGTACTCTGTATTTGTTAACGGTAATAAACCTTAAGAATGAAAATACGAGACTTCTACATTCTAGGAGTTCTTGCAGCAATCATTGCACCTCAGGGTGGCCTTGGGGGCCCTGACATTTGGGATCTAGAAAGCAGTTGCTATTTGAATGGTCTAAGGTAAACCAGTCACTGCTGTAATTTATACCAACCGCTGATTCTCATAACCATAGTCAATTCCAAGTGAGACACAGCAGCAAACAAGAGCACGCTGCTTCTGTCATAGCAAACCCCAGGCTGTAACAACAGTTAACTTGTTCTCAAGGAGGTCCTGTTCGCGCCAGGGGAACGTTCACGAGGAGATAAATGGATAGTAATTACACTGTAAAGAGCTCACAACCGTAGGCTTACCTTTACTTTCTCTGCGCTGGGAAATGGTGCATTGAGAAACTCCTTAGTTAATCTCTTCCAACTAGCTGCTTTGCTGAGATCAGAATGAATGGTGAATTTTTCATATATCCTAAAATATTAAAAAAAAAAATCAACGGATAGCAAAAGATCTTGATGAAAACACAGTAATGAATATGTATAGATAAAAAGAATCTATACATACCCTTCTATTGTTTTTTCTATTTTGTGACTGTTGACATCCAAGAAACGATGAAATCTAGTGAAAATAAAATGCAGTTTTTAAGGCCAGTACTGTCACATAGCTAAGTATACTTGAGCCGCAGCTCTCTATATCCTTGTATGTGGCTGATATCCTTACAACCCTCCTGCAGCTCCCACGGTCAACATAACGTATTTTTCCTAGGGTTGTTGATAGGTCTTGCTATGTGGCTCAGAACTCACTACCAGGCTAAGGATAGCCTTCAACTCACAGCAATCCTCCGGCCTGTGCCACCCAAGTGCTGCAATTACAGGCATGCATCATAATGCCTGGCTTTTCTTTGTCTCTTTAATATAAGAGAGAAGCCCAGTGAAGTCTTTTTTTTTCTTCGAATTTTTTCTTTATTAAGAAATTTTCTACTTACTCCACATACTATCCACAGATTCCCCTCTCCTCGCTCCCCCATCCCCAGCCCTCTTTCCCAAGCCACCCCACATCCCCACATCCCCTAAATTGAGGTCTCCCATGGGGAGTCAGCAGAGCCCAGCACACTGAGCCTAGGCAGGTCCAAGCCCCTTCCCACTGCACAACCCAGTGAAGTCTTAATACTCATCCTCTGAGTAATTTTGCTAAATGTACAACATGAAATACAAAACAAGCAAACATATTCAAGTACAATTATTAAATTATTTAAAAACCTTCAGTAAGGGTCTGGAGAGATGGTTCAGAGGTTAATAGCCCTTGCCATTCTTCCACAAGACCCGGGTTCCATTCACAGCACCCACAACTGTCTATTATTCCAGTTCCAGGGGATCAGCTACCTTCTTCTGGTCTCCTCGGGCACCAGGCACATACATGGCACACATACATAGCACACACATATAGCACACACACATGGCACACATACATAGCACACACATATAGCACACACGGCACACATACATAGCACACACATATAGCACACACGGCACACATACATAGCACAACACGGCACACATACATAGCACACACGGCCCACATACATAGCACACACATGGCACACACACATGGCACACATATAGCACACATACATGGCACACACACGGCATACATGGTACACATACATAGCATACACATGGCACACATACATAGCACACGCATGGCACACATATGTATATGGAGCCCAATCACTCATACACATAAACAACAAGAAAACCTAAACTTCAGCGTGGGACCAAAGACTGTGATCAATGTAATAATAAATATTTGGAAATAACTTGGAGCAACTGTAATACATTGTGAAAAGCACTGTTTCTCCTGGTGACAAAGTCATAGATATGCTTTTGCTCCTGTTGCTATACTATGCAACACCTTGTCTCTCCCAACTCTAAAACGATTTTCACCTGCCTCCTGCCACTAGAAATATTACAAGGAAAATTACTAAGGACACAATCAGTTTTTGAGTTACATGACTTATTTGAATCATTGCTTTTTTTAATATATAGATTATAATTAGAATTGCACTTGTCATTTTGGACTCTTGGCATGCTTTCCATGAACCTGAGAGTTCTGTATCCTCACAAACTAGGTAGCTACTCATGTCTGTGCTAATCACAAACTTTGACAAACCTATTTACTAGGCATGCTATGTGTTGATCAGTAGTAGAACCTGAGTTTGTTTATTATGCAAAAGGAGGACACAGAATCAGGGAAGTCTGCAAGTGGCCTGAACAAGAAGAGGGGAGTTGGTGAGACTATTTCGCTCTAAAAATTCATTTCCCCAGCAATTGCAAAAACAAACAAACAAAAAACCACTTTTGATGTGCCAAGTACTGCGTTAGGGGCAGAAGTGCTGGCATGTGCCGGTGCTAAGATGAGGCCTACGCTCAAGGGCTTACAACTCAGTTTTAACAGCATGTTTCTTGCAAGGGCACTTAGGGGAAACCAAGGCACAGCAGCAGCAGCAGCAGCAGCAGCAGCGGACGGTTTCCAGGAGACCGCACCCCCGATCAGGACCCTCCCGCCTTCCTGCCCGGCCGCTCGGTTGCCCGGCTTTAGCTCGCAGCCGCGATCCCACACCTGAAGTTGGACCAGGCGAAGTCCAAGGCCAGTTGGAAGTTGGGATCCGCCTCGTCCTGCAGGCCAGTAACCCGCCGCACGAGCTCACACACATCACGCTCCAGCTGTCTGTCCATCCGGCTCCCGGACGGCTTAGGCCGGGCCATAGCCACCCGCTGCCTATCAGGAGTCTTGGCGGAGGGGCGGCTGTTCTCGCGAGAGTTCCGGCTCGCGCGGCACTGAGTACCCGAGAAGTGGAGACTGTTTCTGCGAGACTTCCTGCAGCCGCGGTGCCGTGCCTAGGGCTGGTGCGTAGTGGCTAGGTGCACACCGACTTGCAGCGGGCTGGGTTGCTGGGTACAGTTAGTCCCTGTGTGGTGAGCATAGATGCCCCTTCCGCTTGCACGATGGGAAATTAGAGTGTCCTCAGAGTTTTAGTCATTATTTGTTATTAATCATTGTATTTTAATAAGGGTCTCTTGGATAGCCTTGATTAATGCTTTAAATTCTGATGTCTTTTGAGGGCAAACCAGTTTTCCAGTTCGGTGTATGGTTCCCATCGTTGTCGAGCGCCGTGACTTGTATATTCATGCTCCAGTTTCTCCTCCAGATGATCCAAATTGGGTTCTCAGTGCCAGCCAGCCAAATACACGGTTGTGATTAGACCAGGGACACAGGCTGAAAACAGAAATAGAATCTGTATATTACAGTGGTTCCCAGCCTTCCTAATGCTGCAACCCATTAATTCAGCTCCTCATGTTGTGGTGGCCCCCAACCATAAAATTACTTAGTTGCTACTTCGTAACTGTGATTTTGCTAGTTGGGAAGGTAAAAATCCGATGGGGTTCGCGACCCGTATGTTGAGAACCTCTGGTTTCTTTGGAAAGGTAAAGTGGGAATGTGACATCTGCCACCCATTTGATGGCCAGGGTTGTTTCTCCCTCTCTGTTCCATGTGTATCCAGAACTTAGGGTTAGGTGGACCTTCGCTAGTGAGAAGGACTGGGGTTCTTGGTCAAGGGTACAGTACATGTAGCTGGACTAGACCCCTCAAACAGATTCAGAAGAAAGGGAAAGTGGGCCACACACGGCTCACTGAATAAAGCTGCTTGCTGCCACTTGGATCCTATCCTCTGGACTCTTATGATAGAAGGAGAGAACCGAGTCCCATAAGCTGGCTTATGATTTCCATACACGTGCACTTCCACCCCATACAAAATGAAATTTTAAAAAATGGAAAGCACTCCAGAGCATAGGAGTGGACTAGTGAGCTGAAGGTGAACTCACCAGAGCACCAGCTGAGGTGTTTGAACCTTTATAAACATTTGCATTTACACAGCACCTGCCACCACAGCAGTGTATGGCAGCTGTTCTTGCTTATGCTCTCTGTTCATTAGATAAATCCCTGATGAGGAAGGACTTTCAGGCTGCTGAGGTCAGGCTAAGGTACTCCATATTGTATAATACAGTTTTCCCCAGACTGTACGTTGTCCTAGGAGACTATTTTACAAGAGGCTTTTTTTACTCCCGTTCTGCTGCTGGGTAGACCCAGAAAAAGCACCACTGGAAGGCACCCCTATTAAGCAAAGACTGTTAACTTACCCAACTTACCCTGGGGATAGAAAGAGAGCCACCCTGTAAGTTGAATGGGGGGGAATTAGAACTGTGAGGGCAAGTGGACATATTCTAACTGTATCATGTAAACCAGGCCCAAGGACTTATCAGACACTCGAGATGGAGGAAAGCCTGTACCTCCCTCACATGGACCCCATAAAGTGATAGACGCCTACTACTGTGATAGTATGGCTTCATACAAACCTATCTGCTGTGTGCGTCCAGGACCAAGCCCCACACTGTTGATGTAGCCTTCACTGCCTGAATGCCCTGTTGTTGACCTGTCTGGTCCTGGCTCTAATCTGCAGTTTCCTGATCCTGACCCATTTCCTGCTCTGGACCAGGTTTAGTCTTTTCATCTTGCATCCAGATTCTGCAGCCTCACTCTCAAACCTGACTCCGGCAGCTTTACCAGCACTTTTCACCTCCAGGGTGTAGCTCTCTTTGGCCTCCATATCACCCTCTATCCCCTTCAGCCCCCAGAGCAGCAGCAGCAGCAGCAATAGCAGCATGTCCAGTTGAAGCTATAGGGCTACAAGGAGAAAGAAGTCTGTCTCTCTGGGCTCTTCTCTGAGGAACTAAGAGATGCAAGGCCTGGAGGAAGCCCCACCAAAAGCAGGGATGAGGCCAGGACAGTGGCTGCCTCAGGAGGAGGAGCTTCAGACTCCAGCACTGTCATGGTCCTTGAAGATCAGCCACCTACCACCAAGGTCTACCTCTGGAACCCTAAGACCAACATGGCCCATAAGTGACTCCACAGCTGTCCCTCCCCCACACCTGCCACCATCCTTCCCATTGGGTGACATTTTCTGCACAGTGAAAACAAATAAACAAAAAAACGGGTCCCTTTTGACTGCACCCAAGAGCTTTTCTTCAGATGGTGGGTGTTGGAGGTGGGGTGGGGGAGGCAACAAAGAGTGGGGTGGAGACAGTGGGGTGGGGACAGACAGACTGGGATGGGGACAGACAGACAGCGGGGTGGGGACAGACAGACTGGGGTGGGGACAGACAGACAGTGAGGTGAGACAGACAGTGGGGTGAGACAGACTGGGGTGGGGACAGATAGTGGGGTGGGGACAGACAGTGGGGTGGGGACA